GCATTGAAGCAACTGCCATGTGATTGGTTGATTAGATAATTGCATTAATGAGAAATTAAACAGGTGTTCCTAATAATCCTTTAGGTGAGTGTATATGAGCACTGTATTGGACCTGATACTGATACTAGTATTGGTATCAATACATCCTTAGTAGGGCTGGATGATTGATCAATTTCTAATCTAAATCGTGATTTGAAACAATGTGATTAGCAAATCGCAAAAGCTAAAAAAGGATATGCATTATATAGCACATCTCACACAGGATTTAAGACTGTCCCAAGAATACTTTTGGAAATTCATGCCGTCCTCCTCACATGTCAGTCATGCTCACCAAACAGAAGTGGCCCAAAGTGACTGCGTATACACCACAAACGAAAAACACGTGAAACCCAAGGAAAACCTTACATTTGTGAAAAAATGATTCTGTGAATGATGAGCTGTAAGAGAATTACCTACCTATTAACTGGTCAGAGATTGTTTACAGAAAGGTCCTATTATTCAGCATCCAAGCAGGATTAGCTGTAGGATTCCTATTGTTTTTTGTCTTACTGGAATTGTTTTGTTTTTTTATTTTTATTACTTTGTTTCACTTAACACAGTCATAGCTTTTGTGATAATTGTTTTATGTTTGACTGTTCTCTGCTAATAAAAAAAAAGTAATAAATACATCTTGGATGCATCATATCTGTAAATTTTCATCCTTGCATTAGAATTCAGACTTGGTAATTTTTATAGTATCTCATATGGTCGGGCAGATTGGTGGCTCTTAGGCTAGGGATCTGTCCCAGTAATTGGAAGAATGCTGGTTTGAATCCCATAAATGGCAGGAGTGATCCTACTCTGTTGGGCACTTGAGCAGAGCTCTAAATCTGCGTTTTCTATGTCCTGGGTATGATGTTAATCTACATCCAGCCCTAATCTACATCCACCCCAATTTACAGGGAAATTTGGGATTGGCACTCCAGCCACTAGAAAACACTCACACTTGTCCATTCAGACTAGGGTGGTGCTGAGGTATCACCCACTGCTCGGCTGCAGTCAGGTTCTCATCCCTGAGGTGGTTTGTGATCGATGTGGCACTGCGCTGTAATCAGCATGTGCTCCTTACTTCTCATGTGGTAATGTTTAAAGCCATTACATGCTGAATACTGAACTGAAGCTTGACTGGAAAAAAATATATCACAAATCATATCACAATCACAATATCTGTCAGAAAAATCACGATTAGCCACAAACTTTTTCCCTTGGACAACATGGTTTTGACTGACGAAGCCTCAAATCCTTCGAATTAATCCCTTTTCTACAGATCACATCAGCAACTGTTCGGAAATAATAAAGAATCTGCTTACAACTTCTCTCTGATGCTCTCATTTTTATATCTCATTATTTGGAGTAAGTAATCTGTGGATAATAACTTTTTTCACACCTCTAGATTGCAAATATTGGTGTCTATTTTTTTCTCAGACTCATTCTATGTGTAAGTGCAACCCACCAAAACATCTATGGAAATAAATGGTAAAATGCAAATTTATGTTCACTGTACTGTATATACCAATGTAGGGCTATTATAGATAACACATAAGTACAGGGGAACCACAGCTCACCTGCCAAGGGGGAGGGCTGGTCACTCTCATCACCACCCGAACTGAGAAAGATGTCAAGAGCCTCCTGCTCAAACATATCCATGTGGTCCGTGAGCTCCAGGAAGTCCACGTTAACCTCCATAGAGGAAATGCTGTCAAGGGCTGCTAGTTGGAGTTTGATGTTAGGAGAAAAGAGAAACATCACCTCACATAATTTATCCAACTTCTTTGTCATGTTACTCTAATAGCTGAATGTATCTGTACTTGAATGTAAAATTAAATCTACTTTTAGTAATGGAAATTCACAGTGCTAGGAAAGCTAATGTTTGGTATTACAGAAATTGTCTAATTACATTTAACTTATTTAGGAAACACTTTCATCCAAAGTGACATACAAAGGAGAATGCAGTCAGCCAGTGCCTGGAGCATCTGGGAGTTAAGGGTCTTGCTTGAGGGCCCAATATTGATCTCACTTTGCTGCCCACAGAATTTGAATCAGTGATTTTTCAATCATGAGAACTGCGACCTCGCTAAGCCAAAAAAAAACTGTCCCCTAAAATTAGTTTACTTCTACTGGAACTTAAACCAAGCACCTTCTCTGTGTAAAGCAGGCACAACAACCATCACATTATAAAACCACTACATTACAGAACCAGGTGTCATTGGGTTTGCAAATGGCAGGACTATGGCCATAAGCATTCTAACAATGTAAGGGTCATTCATTTTGCTTTCATGTTTGAACTGTTAGACATTATTTCCATGTTTATGAGCCTAAAAACTTAATAATAAAAAGCATGGAGGAGGTGATTTAGCTCCTCTTCCTTGATTTTCTCTATTTCCTCTTCTGATAAGCCTGTCCTATTTTCAGACAGTCCTTAAAACTTTGGTTGCCCATTCTGTTGCTTTTTGTGTTTGTCTTGTTCAACTAAATTGAGTTGAGACTCACTTATGATTCCGTATCCTTTTGTAAAAGTTAACACCGTGCGTAGTTTTTTTCACTTGCCGAAAGTCTTCACAGGACTGTGAACTGGCCTTTGTCCACTTTACAAGGTGTTCTTTTCTCCATAAATATTAAAGGAAATCCTCCATTTAGCGTTTTTTTCTTTGTAGCAATTTATTTTTATAGTTTCCCTTAATTTTAAATTGCACTCTACATCTGGAATTTTAAGTAACGTTAGTTAAAATTTAAGATTATTATAGGACATTAATTTACTGCTGTGATTCACCTGCCTGGCACTATTAACAACCTTCCCAATCAATAAGCTCTAAGAATTCATCAGTTATCATTTATGTATGAGCTGGACATGTTTATCTTTCACTGAATTTAGGACAGATGCCTGTGCATAGTTGTCTTTGTGAATATGTATGTGTGCTTTTGTGTGTGAATACATGCAATGTATGTGTCCATAGCCATGAATCTAAAAAAGATGTACACTCACGCCTCCTGGGTTCGATCTGCAGGTGGCTGGAAGAAAGAATCGCTTCTAGGTCTTGCTGGAAGAGCTTGTCACAGAATTGCTGTCTCATATGTTGCTCTGAGCCAATGCTCAAGACCCTCTGGATGTGATCCGTCTCCACTAGTATGGAGGAGGACAGAAGAAAGACATCAGCTGGGGACTAAAAGCTTGGTGTTGTTGTGTATTTTTTTCCTACTTCATCTGTTGATGCACTGCTGTAATACAATCTGTATTATGGTAAAATCATGCTTATCAAAGTGTCATATTCGCCATTCATTCATTGTCTGCTCTTTATAGACATTAATCAGTATTTTCCTTTACAACTTTTCGGTGTAAAAGATGCTTCTCTTCCCGGAGGTGGACATTTCTGGTCCAGAAAGTAAAAATCCATACCAAAATTTTGTTCCGACCCACCAATTGAGTATGAAGAGTCACATAGTACTCAACTGGTTAGTTGAAACAAAAACTTGGTCTGGATTTTTACTGTCTGGACCTGAAATGTCCGTCTCTGTCTATTCCAATGTGATATATTTACCTTTAACACATTGACCATGTTCTCATAAAGAAGCACTTTTTCACTGAAGTTCTTCAGAATTAAACCTGTTGCTTAAGCATATAACTTCCTGAAATCTTTTTAACTGCCCCCCCCCCCCCATGGGGTGAAAGCAAGATTCATGCTCTGATTGGGATGAAATACTTATTTTCATTGTGGTGTTGGCCTGTGGCTTAAGTTAGCACTGATTGATAGGAAACAATATTTCAGGTCAAAAGGTTAACTGGTATCATCTGATACATGACTTTCTGTGCAGAACATGCTCTTAGATTGCAGAAGTGTCACAGTCCAAATGTCAACCTAAGGACTGTCATCCTAATTAAGATACACTGCTCAAAAAAATTAAAGGAACACTTTGAAAACACATCAGATCTCAATGGGAAAAAAATCATGCTGGATATCTATACTTATATGAACTAGGTAATGTGTAGATCGGGTAGACGGAGCTCGTTAGCCTTGGTAGGCAGTTCGTCTAGGAGAAGGAAAACTCTGATTTCAAACCACAGCGCCAGGTGTGCTGCACAGTCTCGATGCGCGACGACCCTGGGTTTCACGGACATGGGTTCCACGGACGTGACTCAGGCATTCAGCAACCATGCCCCTGCCAGGGTTACCAGCCCCGCTGCCTTGTGGGTATCTTCCGGGAGGAGAAAAGGCTATGGGAGTAAACCCAGACAGAAAATCTGGAGTGGAGCCCCTAAGGCGGCTGGCCAGTGCTCTGCGCCCCAGCCGGCAACTCCTGCAGCCAAGCTGGTGCCAAACGTATTGCTTTGCTTTCCTTTGGAATTCACCAGCAAGGCCGAGAGGGGGATACTAGTGTCTGGGCAGCCTAGTGTCTCTATACCCGCACCCAGGCTTGCGTCCTGGAGAGGTCACTCCAGTGCTGTCTTACAGCATCATACAACACGGAAGACAGCAGTTACGAGTTATAAGCCCATATCCGATTGGCGTAGGATAGGGCGCTACGGGCTGTCTTCGACGGTGGGAGGATCCATCGCGTTCCACTGGTCAACTACTGCCCACCTTAAGCTGGGCAGCCCCCGGCTAATAGGGTGTTGACCCGCCACGGTCTGCCTGCTTCTTTGGGTGCTTGGAGCTTAGAGATAAACTCGACAAGCAGACCGCAAATACTGCACCAGGCAAACAGAAGAAAAAAACAGTTCTACGGCTGGGAAGTTGGAATGTCAGGACTATGTGTCCTGGCCTTACTGAGGACCTTTCTGGCATTGATGACTGCAGAAAGACCGCCGTCATCAACCGTGAGTTGAAGAAGCTCAACATTGACATCGCTGCCCTTCAGGAAACCAGACTCCCTGCAGACGGCAGCCTCAGAGAGAAGGACTACACCTTCTTCTGGCAGGGGAAGAGACCTGAGGAACCACGACAGCATGGCGTTGGCTTTGCTGTGAGCAACGCCCTTCTAACCTCAGTGGCACCTCCGGATGGCGGCACTGAAAGGATTCTGTCCCTCTGACTCTACTGTTACACTGGCCCTCTGAACATCCTGAGCATTTATGCTCCAACACTCTGCTCTCCTGCAGAGATCAAGGATCAGTTCTACGAGGAACTCCATGCTGCCATTAGAAGAGTGCCTTCCTCAGAAGCCTTAGTCCTACTCTGTGATTTTAATGCAAGGGTGGGCAGTGACCTCGACTCCTGGCCCATGTGTCTAGGCCACTTCGGTGTTGGCAAAATGAATGAGAACGGTCAGAGGCTTCTTGAGCTTTGCTCCTACCATGACCTCTGCATTACAAACACGTTCTTCTCCACCAAGCCTCATCACCGAGTTTCATGGCGGCACCCCAGATCCCACCACTGGCACCAGCTAGACCTGGCTATCACACGCAGGACTATGCTGCGCAGTATCCTCGTCACCCGCAGCTATCATAGTGCTGACTGCGATACAGACCACTCCTTGGTCGGCAGCAAACTGCGACTTCAGCCCAAGCGTGTTTATCGCACAAGGCAGAAAGGGCGGCCACAAATCAACGTAACTAGAACCTTTGTTCCCGATCTATGCACCAAGTTTGCAGAATCCATCACGCAAGCCCTTCTGGAACCCCTAACAGGCAGCATAGAGGAAAAGTGGAGTTTCATTCGGGATACTATATACCATCAAGCCATGGCCACATTTGGCGAGAAGGAGAGAAGAAACCCCGACTGGTTCGAGGCAAAATTCACAGAGATTGAGCCTGCAATAGAAGCCAAGCGAGCAGCGCTCATCAAGCACAAGAACAACCCCTTAGAGGGCACTCTAGCTGCACTAAGGAAGGCTAGGTGCGAAGCTCAACGCGTGGCCCGCCGCTGCGCCAACGAGTATTGGCTGAACCTCTGCCTGAGTATCCAGCAAGCTGCTGACAGCGGCAACGCCCGTGGCATGTTCGAAGGCATGAAGAAGGCTGTCGGCCCGTCTGCCACCAAGGTCGCGCCACTGAAGTCATCAACCGGCGACATTATCACGGACAGATCCAAACAGATGGAACGATGGGCCGAGCATTACCAGGAACTCTACTCCCAGGAAACTGTCGTCACCGAAGATGCTCTGCAGCACATCCAGGCCCTGCCAGTCTTA